CAGCCCAATGAGTGCTGGGATCCCAGGCATGCACCACCACACCCAGCCTACACTGACAGGTGAGGCATCATACCAAGAATTGTTTCTGAAGGTATTAAGAGCTAACACCTTACAGAAGGACCCAGTTCTGGGTGTAGCTGATGAATACAATTCTACTATTGGTTCACTCTTTACTTGTACTTTAGAATTATACTTCTAGACTTAAGATGAATATATTTCTTATTTCGGAGATAAATATCCTAGGTTAACTCATGCAACTAGTTAACAGTAAAGTCTAATTTAAAATCCAGACTCCCAAAAGTCTAAAATACTGGTCTTTCTGAAAATCCATACTGCTATTAAGAAACTCAATCTATTCTTCAAACCTGGCTTCATATTTTTTTCTGAAAAATAATCATAAAAAGGTATTATTGACTGAGGGAAATTTAATCTTAAATAAAACATGTTTGGAAAGTATAAATTGTGAAGAAATGTTAACTATGCTGACATAACAAAAAGAGGCGATTTCACTTCACCTCCTTAAGGAGCCAGGCGTACTTTCATTTGTTCATTTTCCCCATATTTTCAACTCAGGAACCAAAAGAATTGTTAAAAATATCACAAAATCCAGATGAATCAAATAGAGTATTTGTTGTTTTTGATTTGCTTTCTCCAGCAAAAAAGTCCTCTGTGTAACTGGGTATGTAAGGTTAGATGCCGCAGACCCTGAAAGCCGGACTATCTTCACAGTTAACACGTGGAAGTGTGCTTTAGGGAGTCTCCTCTGTAGGAGGCAGGCACCCCACTACGAGCAGTCCCTGGACTACGACTGCAGCGCACATCTACACAGCAGCTGTGCAACACGTGCAGCCGCCACACGAGCTGCTGCCAGGGAGCTGTGCCTGCACTGTGTAACAGCGCTGCACCTCCAGACTTCCTCTCAGTAAGAAGGTCACTAAGACAGGGACACTGAGGAAAAAGGACTGCTGAGCCCGGCGATGATCTAGTATCACTTTAACTCTGTTGGTCTCTTCTAAGACAAAGCCTGGCACAATAGCCATGCTATAAAGCTTTGTTGATTAATTCCGGAACAATAAAAGAATAATCGTGGTGCTGTAAGATAAATGATGGCTATGCAGTAAAAGTATATATGATAACTGTATGCAATAAGAATTAATACCTGCTTGAAGCAAGAAAAACTCCTCAATTAGTTGTTCTTAAACTCTTCGCAGTCCACATCTAGAGGCATCTAGGAATCTGAGGACGTGCTCACTGCTGTCATTTGTCATAGAGATACACTCCAAAAAATCATAGAACTTGTTTTGATTGTAATTTCCTTTGTGTCTTTTTTTTTTTGAACTGGGGATTGAACTCAGGCCCTTGCATTTGCCAGGGAAGCGCTTATTCTACTGAGCCATGTCCCTAGCCCCCTTTGTGTCATTTGTAATCCTTCTTGCATTTACCATGAGCTGTGTCACTGCTTTGAGCCTTATCCCCACCCCTTTTATTTATTTATTTATTTGTGGTACCAGACATTGAACCTCCTCTTTCATTTTGAGATGGCGGCACTAAGCTGCTCAGACCAGGCTCTGCTTGGGATTTTCCCACCCCAAAGCACTGAGGCTCCGGGCCTGCGCAGCGGGGAGCAGCTGCTGCGCTCAGCATCCCAACTCTCCAGTGGCACCAGCGGTGCCCACATGGACCAGACACGGGCTGCCATCCTGTCCCATTAAATACCAGGAAGACAAGGAAAAAAGTAACTTCTGCAAATGTAGTATCATTTTTTAGTTTAAAGCTTTAGTCAGCAAACTCATTTTTCCTTTCAAAATGTCTTAACGCTTATATAACCTATAATCATAACAAAATAGGACTTTTAAAAGCTGAAAACCTTCAGCTTAAGTTGTAGACACTTTTAGCCACTTTTTTCAAAGTTGTATTTGAAGTAAAATATGGTTAAACTTCTATTGTTTTAAACTTGCAGTACTACTTAACTGTACATTAGAAGACACTCAAGTTGCTAAGTGAAAAGAAAATCCTTTCGTGCTTTTTTCCGATACATGCATAGGAAATCGAGACTAAGATATTGTTACCTCCATTATAAGGGGAGATGTTTTTGACACGATTAATCTTTAAAATGTCATGCTTTATATACTTTAAGACATACACTCACTTCCTTCTCTGGAATAAAGGCACTTGGTCCTCTTGTCAAGGGCTGAGATACTCTGATTCTTTTATCCTGCAATTAAAAGGAAAATTATACATTAATGATGAATTTCCAAGAAAAGTTAATTTATACAAATTATTGTTAAGAAATTAAATAAGCAAACAGAATAAACAGAATCATGTGAAAGCAGAACAGGTTTTGGGCCCAGATCAAAGAAGCCAGAGGCCGTGTTGTGGATGAGGGGACAGGGCGGGCGCCTAGGAGTGCTCTCACAGTTGGGGCCCTCACAGCACCTTCTCCTCAGTCCTGTTCCCAGACATTTTTATCCATATTTAATCTGAAGGAAAACCGTTATCTCTGGTAGTACACTAGTTACACAATTAGACATTAATTTTAAAACTAAATGGAAGTTTAACTGAAAGAGGATTATATGCAACTTTCAAAAGCAATGACCTGATATATGGATTTTTCTGAATAAAACAGCAATAAGAATATCAATAAAAGATTCTTGAATTTTAAGAAACCTCTAAAATAGCAAGGTAGAGCTTAACTGAATTTAACAAAAGGAAAACACAGTATAGTAATTCTGTTTCACTTGTTAGTCTATTAATATTTTTCTGTTTTTATTTACACATCACTATGTAGAAACAATGGGCATTCCAGTTGGATGACACAGCACTTCCACACAGACATGTGTAGGAACAGTCAGTGAGAGGCTGTCAGACTTTATGTCCTCGGTCAGGAGAGGAGATGGAGAAAATGGCCATTTGATTTTATAAAATAAAATTAATACTCTAATATTCAGAAATGGAAAGGCCTCTAAAGGCATAAAACATGGCCTCTACCATCGTTTACAAAAGCTATACAGACAGCACAAAAATGAGGAAAACAGGAGTGCCCGTCCAGTGGAGAGGGCACACAGAACTTCAGGCGCTACAGCTGCTCCTGAGCAAATGCCCAAGCTGAGCGAACGGCTGAGACGGCGACGTCCCAGGTGGGCAGTGTTGTGTACGAGACTCTTCTCAGAATGGAATGCAGACTAGAACAAGATTCCAACTAGTAACGCGAATGCAGATCCTGGATGTTAGCACTCCACTACCCAGGACAGAAGGTACCAAGCTGGGCCCCAAGATCTTCTCAGGACTATGCACAAGAGTTACATGAAATCAGAGGATAAAAGCACATGCAAGCAGGCACAGGGGCCAGGGGTGCCATCCCTGCCCCCAGGGAGTGCTGAGATGGCCATTGAGACTGGGCATGGGGGCGCGCGCCTGTAATCCCAGCTCTTGGGAGGCTGTAAACAGGTGGATCACTAGAGTATGGTCTAGTAGTGAGACCCTGGATGCCCTGTAGACCCCTCCCTGACCATACAGGAAAAAAAAAAAAGAAAGAAAGAAAAAAGAAAAAGAGAGTTGTATGAAAGTAATTCAGTCTGACAGAAGGAGGAGAGGCAGGGAGGAGCCACGAAGAGCGCCAGGTTGGTACCAACAAACGCTTGCTTTTAATAGGGAAATCGCCCGCGAACCTATGGACTCCTGGACAAATGAAGGTTAAGCATGACCCCGCCCATAAGTAGGGACCTGGAGTCCGTTTTGTTGCTCAATCTCACACAGCAAAAACCTGTAAAATACAAACCAGTTATTTTGGGTTTTTTTATTTTATTTTATTGAGAAACAAATAGCAATGAGATAGTTTCAAAACTGATTAATAGGACAGTTTCAATAATACATTGTACGTTATCTTCTTAGTGGTTATCCATAGTACAAGATGCAGACAGACTATCCTGTCCAAACACTATTAGTACACATCTTTCTTCTCATCGCATTAAGCAAAAGTAGCTGTATATCCATCTGAACTGTTCTGCATATACAGATACAAAATGGTCCTTCCAAACCAGTTATTCTGAATCTCTTCCTTTGCTAGGAAGGAGGTACAAAACAAACCGATAAAAGTAGACAATAATGATGCTCTGAGTCCAATCAGACACTGACCAGTCTATCAGGATGTTACAGACCCTGGACATAGACTAAGGAACACAGACGTGGTCCCGAGTCTCCTGAGTCTAGCAAGGCTCTTCATCAATTTTCAGAGTTCTATAGAAATAAATTTACGATAACTTTAAACTTAAATTTTAGAAAAATTTATGATAGATTTTTATCTAGATCATATTTATCATATGATAATTTATCATATAAATTATCTAGATCATATTTATAAGGTGATGACAGATCTGTCTGAGAGGAATTCATGTAAATGGATTAACTCAGTATTTTAAACATTGGTGTTTCTTGCCCATCTCAAAATACGCTAGATTTATCTAGAAAAAAAAACTTGAAAGCGATGAATGGATTTCTCTCCTTTGCTTCTCTCTGTTGAGTTATGGAAAACAAAATTCAACACTTTTCATATAATTTAATGAAAAGTAACTTCCTGGACCATATGAAGTGAGCAACACGTCAGAAAAACCACTTCTGAGGAAGAATCAGGTTATGAGGACAAATGTCCACGGGAGATTTGGTGTTTAAAAAAACACAAGCTGATACTTTATTAACTGAATTTACCTTTAAATTTTTGAAATTGTTTAGACTACAAAAATATTTTCTGGAAAAGGAGATTTTAAATCAGAGGTACATTTTCATTATAAATGGAACTACAGAGTACCACATCATGTTGAACACAAAACTCTTAGTTTTAACTAGTTGATAAGAGAAACTGAATTTTTATTTTTGTCAATATTTATTTTGCAAACACAGATGGAGCATCAGCAGTGTGTTAATACACAAATGGCAGAAATCCACACGATGACAGCACGGGACACACACCAAGCGGAAGCACACAAGAGTGATGTGGAAAGACAGCACGGTGGCAGCTCTCGCTCGCCGAGTCATTTACGTATGCTTGCACTATTCCAAATATGGGATGAGGACCCTCCTGTTGGAAACAGGGTCTCGCTGTGCAGCCCAGGCTGGCCTCAGCCTCAGCGCTTCTCTCGACTAGGACTCCCAAGTGCTGGCATTACAGGTGCAGGCTGCCACGCCCAGCTCATGATGAACATCTCTGCAGAGATCCGAAGCATGTTTTGTGGTTGTCTTACTTTTCTCTTTGCTGAGACAAAATACCAGCTATCCCAGCCCAAGTCAAAGAGGAAAGGTTTACTCTAGCCCATAGTCTGTGGAGGTTTCAGCTCATAGTTGGCTGGCTTCAAGGCAGGGTGGTGAGGTAGAGGAGAAGCAGTCCAGGGCAGGCAAAAGGCAGGAAGGCATCACGGCAGCAGGGAAGGGTGCAAGTGGCAGCAGCGGCAGATCCTCTCTCCCTCTTACCCCTGCCAGGCTGCTGCACCCACGCGTGGGGCGGGCCTTCCCCTTAGCCTCACCCAGGACTATGCCAAACCCACCAGTGGACTCACATACCCTGGTCCCACACCACACACCCTAGACAGCCACGTTTGGAAACCCCCCTATGACCGCAGGAAGATTTCAAGGGGACAAAGAGATACACACTGTAACAGCAATATTTACTATAGTTTCTTCAGGAAGATTCCCAGAAATGCATTTACTGGAGTTTAGGCAATAACTACTTTAAAATTTCTTGTTGAATACTGTCAATATTAACAAAAATGTTTTATCACTTTTTCATTAGCTGAAAAAATGTCCACCTAACCCTTAATTCTAAAAGTAAAAACCAACATCGAAAAATGTGCTTGAAACCTTTACTACATACTGATTTATAGTAATAATTCTTTTTCTTTTTTGGCAGAACCAGGGATTGAACTCAGGCCCTTGTGCTTGCCAGGGAAGCGCTTATTCTACTGAGCCATCTCCCCAGCCCTACAGTAATTATTCTTAAGCAAGTGCCTGCTCATGAAAATGCAGTCAGGCGCAGGATACTACAGTTCGAACCCTGCTTCCACCTGCCTTACCAGACCTACCCTTAAGGCAGACTGAGCTGGTCAAAAAAAAAAAAAAAAATCAGATCAGTTTTTCTTAATAACACAATAAAGGAGCAAGGCAGCACGTGGGTCTGAGAGCAAAAGCGGCGGGAAGCTGAGAGAGGCGTCTGGGGCGGCGGGAGTGGCCAGGTCAGAGACCACGCGGCGTGCTGGTCACACCAGCACGACTGCTGCCAGCAGACTGAGGCAGGTGGCCAAGCTTCAGTCTCAATTAAAGTTTCCAGCACAGCTCGCTGACCATGCCCCTCACACTTGCGATGTCACAGGCACAGAGAATCATTTATTCACTGAACACCCGAGAAAGTTAACATCATGTTAGGTTGTATCATCCTTCATAGTTTCCTAGATATAACTGTTAAATGGCATCACTTTTGAAATGGTCAGTCAGATTCCCACTTATTTTAAGGAATGGATTTCTTTGGTGAGGACCCTATGATTGTCATAATTGGCTATCTTACATATTTATATAAAGGGGAAAAACAATTTAAGAATGATAAAGCAGTTCATAAGTTCTCTAAACTCATTTTACTCTGGAAAAATTGGGCTACTGGCTTTCTATTGTGGTATGATTTTAGTAAAACACACTTGGTACAGCACACAATCTAGAAGACGTATGTGAAAACCATTCTAGGCAAACTGTACGCCTTTCCTCAGCTTTTCTCTCAAATCCAAAGCGCCTAAGGACTAGGCTCCACTTTGTCTTCTCGGGAACCCTGCTCACGTCCTTGGGCCTGTGCTGCCCAGCATGACTGCTGCCAGCAGACTGAGCCACGTGGCCACATTTGTGTTTCAATGCAAGTGTCCAGTGCATCTTGCTGCCCACCCCTCACACTGCAGGAGTCACGGGCACACGCCTGTGCAGGGCAGTCTGGCGTCTGTCTCCCACCGGCACGGAGCCGCGCAGCGCTGCTGCTCCAGGTGCCTCTTCAGGCTTGCGCTTGTTTTAAGTCACATCATTAGGCATCTTCACACTTCTTTGAAATGGCACATAGTTGTTCTGAGAGTTAGTAGCTTTCATGGTTATACCGAGTCGATCCCAGACCAAGCATTTTTGTGTGGTTACAGAAATGCACACAAGCAAACCAAGAGTAAGCAGAGAAGGGGCCAAACCAGGAGGGGAAAAG